CCAAGGTACATGCCCTTGACCGGAATCGAACCTGGGACCTTTCAGTCCGCAGGCCGACGCTCCATCTACTGAGCCAAACCGGTTTCGGCGGTAGATATTACTATTGATAAAAGATGGTCATCAAATACCTATCATAGTGCAAGGTTCATTTCCCTTTCTACTCTTCCTCAAGATATAGATTTGTTGTTTTATTCCTATTATGGTTTCATAACCTCACCAGTTGAAGTTACACTACTACTAATCTTAAACTATTTTATCTATATTGTTAACTTATTATCAAAGTAACTAAAACTCAGATACTATTTTTGAGACTGTTCACTTACACTTGCCTTTCTGTCTAGGATATGCTCTTCAAATCTGATTCCCTTGAAAAGACAATGACATATTTCTTACATGTTCAACTTAACAGCATTAATTTTAAATGCTGGACCCTTTATATACTTACGTATTATACTTTTTAGTGTATGTCTAATATATGGGAACTCCTTCTTTACTATAACTGCACTTTAAAATGCTTAGTTAAGCCTTGTCTCTGAACTAAAAAAAGCCACAGTTTCTTCACAATTATACCACTATTTCTTTTTTAAAGTCCTGCTCACGCTTTTCTGAACTATTCTAAATTGTGTAGAATTCTATCACAGATTCAAGCATCCTGACATAGCATATGCTAGGAGGGTAGACAACTAATTGAAGCATGGGAAATAGAATTTGGTTTTAATATTATCATAGAATAATAGACTCTGTTTTTAACCTATATATATATAAAAGCCTAAGCGACTGGCCAACCAGCTGACTGCTCGACCGGTAGCTATGATGCGCACTGACCACCAGGGGGCAGTTGCTAAATGCAGGAGCGGAAACCACAGGCATGGAAACATGGAACAGACTGATGAATCTCAGAGGGAAGGGGGTAGGAGAGAGGGCAGGAAGAGATTAATAAAAAATTTTATATGCATACTAGACGCCCAGGGCACAGATTTGCACCCTCTCACAATTCAGGACCCCTTGGGGGATGTCAGAGAGCCGGTTTTGGCCTGATTCCCGCAGGCCAGGTCAAGGGACCCCACCAGTGCACGAATCCATGCACTGGGCCTCTAGTATTATCATAAGGCTTAAATGATGAGTGAAAAATATCAGATACTGAAGGTACTATGATCTTCTTACTGATAAAAGAGGCATGGTCCTATAAAAATTGATCTTACAAACTAAACTGGGTTTTTAAGTCTGATTCCTGTTTGGGCTCTTTCCTTTCCTAATGCCCCCTTTTTTTAACTAATTGAAAAGAGGAACCATGTATGTTATTTAAAAAAATTTCAAGCAAAGTCACAAAAGAGAGAGCATTTTTGGCTGAAGACAATTCATGGCCTGTTTTTCTGTTGCTTCAAATGGCATTTTTAAAAAACTAAACGGAAACTTTGAAGAATAACATCTGTTGATGAGGCCTTTTCTTGGCAGGTGGGTGGAAATCTGTAAGAATAGCAGATAGGAAATGACAACAA